GAGAAAAATATATTTGATTTTACAAAACATGCGTCTCGCGTTCGATTACCTACCGAAGTGCATTTGCTCATAAGTGATAACCGTAAGTATGATTAACTTATTTATTGCAATAGGTTTTCCATATAGCATATAGCATTTCTATTAAACCCTCGGTGTCCCTTATTTGACTAACTACAAAAACTATGAAGCCATGGGAAAACTCGTGAGAATACTCGTTCGGTCGGGTAAATACGATTTCAAATAGAAATAATGACTAGAATATCGACTGTACTCGATGTCAGCCCCTCGCTATGGAATGTTCGACTGCAAAGTGCAACACTGGCTCGGTGGCACCGTCCAGTTATACTTATAGCTCATACGATTCCGAATTTCTTTCGCACACAACGAGCCAGTCGCTTGATAATACTCGTGCATATTTTTCATGCTTCCAATCGTCTGTTTGTGCGTGATTATGTACTGATTCGAGCAGCCACGTGACCTGTACTCCGTGTCGAACCGTATATCATGTTTCCTCTCAATGTTCGCCAACGGGGCAATCCAAAGGCCGACGGACACATCCTCCGCTTTGTACAATCTGAAAATTGCAACCAGTTTCATGCATGTTCCAGGCGTTTCTAACTCTTAGGTCTTACTTAAGTAGTTCTACGTTTGTAGCGATGAATTTGACGATATTATAAGATAAAACGTATCCTCCTCCGAGGGCATAAGGCAGATAATAATCACATAATATCCAATCGGTTTCCTTCCAAGGTCCGCTCCTCTTCACCTGAGCTCTTCCGTTAAAAAAACCCCAATATAATTCCCTCCGCGTTCCCTTGCTGTCCCACTTGTCCAGTTCCTTCAAAATCTTGTTCACCAAGACGAACGTGTCGTCGTCGCATTTCAGTAAGAAATCAAACTCATAATAGTCGTGAATTTCTTTAAATGAGTGCAGCACTTTCTTAGTTAGAGTCCCGTACGTATCTGGTAGTCTAGGTAAAATCAACAAATCATTGAATTTCTGTTTCTCAGATTGCAAAGTCTCTCTTTGCTCCGGTAACAAGTTCAGAGTCCCAACAGCGAAGAAATGCTTAACAGTAGCTTGTTTCTGTGCCATCCATGTTTTCCTTATCGTCGCTCTCCGTTCTAGATTGTCAGGACTGGATAACACAAGAATCACCAGCCGGAACTTTGACTTATTCTTGACTGACTGCTCGTTGGGGGAGCATTTGGTGGCAGGCAAATAATGAATGCACAAGAAGACGATCGATAATATAATTAACAGAGTCGGTATGTTCAGTTTCACGTGCAGCTTCTTCCGTATAATCATGTACAAACTCTTCGACGAGGGTTTCAGCGGCAACAGCTTCACAGAATCCATTTGAAAAACAAATTCTCAATCACGTTCCTAACCATTTGAATACTACCTCCGTCCATCTGCCGTTGCCATCGACATTGTTTCGAGTGCTTAACTCTGGGTTTTATCAATTGTATATTTCTTCAGGCATTCGAATGGCTTGTGATGAAATTCCGTAAACTGTGCAGGTTCCGAGTGACCTAACTTTGTCAACGATCAGCTGTTCGAACCTAGTCTTACAACTCAGCTTACTCCCACCACTGCCACTCTAATGATTTCAAATGAAACATATATACATGTATTCAAGATGCAAAACATTTCTTTATTGAAAAATTGAATTACGAATAAAATATTTATATAAAAAACAAATGGTACCATTTATTGTTCAACTAAATAGCCAGTTAATAAATATCCGCCTGTATCGTTAGTTAAAATGTCAGGATGCGTTCTGTCTGGCAGGATTTGATAAGAACGCAAGAAATTTGAAAACAGTCTTAGATTAATCACGTTCTGGGTCTGTTTTAAAGCCACGTAAACCTCTTGCAGGGGTTCCCGGTAAGCGTGGTAAATGACGAACGGTCTGGACGCTCCCAGAAATGGTAGAAGTGCTGTGACGATGTTTAAGGGATGTTCCTTGCACACGATGGTCAATCCTCGGGCCTTCGAGCCCTGCACAAGCTCCACGGCGCGTTGAGTGTCCAACAACCACCGCGGCTTCTTTGCAGGCGTTGAATCCGAAGATTCATTGCCTCCGTCAAATTTCCGTTTCAAACCACTGTCTGTTTTTTGTTCTTCATTTACTTCGTCGTTTAACACTTTCTCTGACTCATTGATAACAACGTTGCTTGAAATTTCTTCTGTTTGAGGTTTCTCAATGAGATCTTCCTCCTCTTTTTTCCTTTTACTCTCTTTCACCTTGTTTATCCAATTACTGTGGTCCTTGTTTGAAATATTATTCCACACAGCATTCTCACCTTGGTAATACAATCTCAGGAAACTGTAAATATTAACATTGACTAATCTGTCAGTTTGCTCTTTAGGAAAATTCATAGCGTTGACGAGCATCGCTTGGGGAACGTTCCCAGGATGTAAATTGATTAAATGCCCGTTCGTGTTCGAACCGATTCTGTTCAACATCGCAGCAGCTGGTAATCCTTGAGACCCACTGTCGTACAAAATATGCAGACCATCCGATTGAACGTCGCTGTACGATAGTAACTGTGCCAACGAATCCATCCTCAAGCCTCCAATTTTATTAAGATCTAACTTGAAGTACACGTCGTGCAATGAGCTTATATTCGGCCTGCACACTGTTAAATATCTCAGGTACTTCTGCTCCTTCTTCTTCAGGTACTTCTCCTGGGAATATTCAGTCCTGTCCAAGAAAGACTTGTTATTCTCTATCAAACTGCCTACGATCTCCTTACCGGTTTTCCCAGATTCTTGCAACTGGAGAATCTCCTCCTTAGAAAGTTTCTGCGATGTGCCATCATCGATTATGGTACGATTGTCGCTACCGCTTGGTAGCTCGTTTAATAAATCGTTTAACGATTCTGCTTCTAATACTTCCTTCAGCGAATATGCACGTTTGCCTTCTTTCGTCGGTATCATCTCAAACGTGCTCCAGAAACGTTTTCCTATAATCGCGCTCATCTCTACCAAATCCTTTCCCAACATCAGACTCCCGTTTGCTGTCACTTTATAAATTTTCTTGAAATTCAGTTTCTTTATTATCACGTACATGCCCACGGCAATCGTATCTTCCTCAATTTCACACATGTTTCTCTCAGATGCGTTCCCCTGAATACAATATGCGATAACCTCAAAAAGTTATAGGTTGTCAATGTTATATGCAGTTTTTTAATTCAGGCCCGTTCGAAATTCGTATAACAATTTTCCTATTATTCTTCATTCCAGTTTATAATTCTTATTAAAAAATATGGTAATTACGAGTACATTCCTGTTGTATATTTACGACTCGGTTTAACCTAAGCGTGTCAGAGATAAAACAGCCAACGTGCTGTTGCTGTTGATGGCATTCGACGATACGTCATATACATTATTAAAATATTAAGAGAGTTATAAGAATTACTTCATTTCTTCAAGTATGTACATGAAATTTAAGATTTCAATGGATAAAGAATATATTTTTGATTTATTTTGCAGTACGTGAAGGAAATGGTTATTTATAAAGAATTCCAAGCAGTGGTGCTCGCAGGAGGAGGAGGCTCCCGCATGACAGAGCTCACCCATGGCAAACATAAATGCTTATTGCCCATAGGCAACGTACCCATGGTTTGGTACCCCCTTCAGTTATTAGAACGTGCTGGCTTCAAGGAAGCCATAGTCATCGTATCAGCTAACATGGAGACCAACGTGTCGTTGGCTCTAAGCAATTTGAATCTTAAAATCAAAGCAGATATTGTTCCTATAGAGGATGCAGAAGATCTGGGAACGGCTGACTCTGTGAGGCTGATTCATGAAAAGATTCATACAGATTTCATAGTAATCTCTTGTGACCTGATCACTAATATAGATATACATGAGATTTTGAATATGTACAGAAAGCATAATGCCAGTATCACTGCATTGATGCTTCCTGTACCCAAAGTACCTGACGAGTTCGTAACGCCAGGTCCAAAGAATAAACAGAAGCCTGAGACTGATTTAATTGGAATCAGCAATGAAACTGGCCGCCTGATTTTCCTAGCGTCTGCCTCGGACTTCGAAGAAACGATTAAAATTTCGCAAACGTTGCTTAAAAAACATCCAAGCTTCACGATCCATTCGAAATTGATGGACACTCATTTGTACGTGATTAACAAATGGGTGCTGGATTTCTTGGTGCACAATAAGTGAGTGTACAGAAAATCAGTCATTTATTATCAACATTTTATGTCGTACATTTTTTTTATAGAAACTTTACTACGCTGAAGGGCGAGCTCCTTCCGTACATCGTTAGGAAACAACTTTCTAAACCACCTAAACAATACCTGGACGACAAGAACACCTCTGTTGTACGGTTGAATGTAAAGGACGATATTTATCATTTTGCTATGGAGAAACCATTGGATGAATTGATCAGAAAAATGTCTGCGTTCAATGATCATGATACCGATTTGGAGGACGCTTATCATGGGGATGTGATTAGGTGTTACGCTTATATTGGTACTGGGAAATTCGGCTTGAGGGCGAATACTATACAGATGTATCACCTTGCTAACACTAAGGTACAGGAGTTACTTTAGTAACTGGTACAGAATCTGGTACCAAATTGCAGCATTTGGTCAACCAAAATAATATAATTATATTCAATTTATAAATTGTATTGCAATTTATCTTATAAATTTATTCCTATTAGATATCAGAATGGTGGGGCAATGAGGAACAGACGATACCAAACATAGCATCTAATGCGACAGTGCGTAGTACGCAAATGCAAGATTGTCGCGTGGGCAATAATGCACTCGTCGATGAAAAGACGTCGCTTAAACAAAGCCACATCGGTCCAAATTCAGTCGTCGAGCCTAAGAGCAGAGTATCACAGAGCGTTATTATGGAGAACGTGACGATTAAACAAAAGTAAGAATAGGAGATCAATTCTTAATTAAAGATAATTATAAAAATCATTTTCTACAGATGTGTAATACAGAATTGCATACTATGCAACGGCTGTGTGATCGAAGAAGGTACTGAGTTAAAAGACTGCCTGGTGGGTCCTCAGCATATCGTAACATCTGGAAGCCAACATTCTCGCGAGGTTCTTACTGATCCCGATAAATTGATAGAAATTTAATGATAATTAAATAAGAACTCTGTATAATAAATTATGTACGTTTTTTCCACAATAAAAATATAATACAATTGAACAGCTGTTCATGTATCGAGTATATTTATTTCAAATGAGAACCTCTGCCCCCTGGAGGGAAACAGATTTACGAACACACGTGAACTCCTCTTTCGTATCGTCTCTCCGTGCAAAATGGTAAGCACGTACAGATAAGTTTTAAAATCCATAAATTTCCGATCAATCATTTAAATTATAGACTTAAAAAATGTTCGATGCTCTTCTGTAAAGTGTCTAAAATTAATTTAAAACTATAGTATTTGAATAAAAGTCGTAATAAATGTACTATTGAAGTTGAACGGTGGTTCAGGTTATACGGCCAGTGTTTACTAGTTGACACGAGGTTTCCCTGAAGGAATAAGGAATATCTGACTGTCTTATTAAAAATTAATTGTTTAATGTTCGCAGACGAAGGGTACATCGAGTTTTGGTAAGCGGAGAAACAAGACACACACCTTGTGCAGACGGTGTGGGCGCAGCTCGTACCACATCCAAAAATCGCAGTGTGCACAATGCGGGTATCCAGCGAAAAAGATGCGATCTTGTAAGTTGCAATCTCATAATAAACGAGATTTCACTTCTAAGAATTAACTAATACCATTTCCTTGACACAGAAATACATAATAGATAGCAGATCTGTGTTTGACAATCAAACATTATTATTAATAGCTTTACTTTAGACGATTGTATCAATGTTAAAGTCATTAATGATCTCTGTATATGTATATGTTAATTACAGAATTATACGGTTTCATAATAAGTAGTAGATAGTAAATTATGTACATTAATTAATAACCGCGGTCTCGCAAATTTCTATTCAGTAACGCGCAGATTAATATTGCAAAATGTTAACTTATATGCAGTTCTGAAGTACGACGCGAAAGGTACTTAGCTCGTAGCTGTTAGTCGTGAGACGGTATGTTACCAGGTCGCATTCAGCCACGATTTCGCCTCCACAAGCATCAAAAGATCAAGAATAATCGCATGATCATTTAGCGTTTAAAGAATCCTCAATACGAATCGAGAATAGGAAACAAATTTCAACAGACGGTCGAATAGAACTCGAATACAAATGACTGTTTGGAAGAAACTGTTCGGTAAGTACATAGTACATAAAAATATAAAGATATGTATTTTAACGAATCTAATATTCACAGGCAAGTACCTATTAGTTACGAACACCGTGAGCTGCGGTTTGATGATGGGAGCCGGGGACGTGCTTCAACAGCGGAGCGAATATTTCAGGAAGCACAAATACCTGCCGCATGGAAATTACGTGATGGCAGCATCCCCGGAAAAGAAGCTCCCAAGTCCAGTGGCTTACATCCACGATTACACGCGAACCAGAAACATGATAATCGTAGGCCTATTACAAGGACCGTTCCATCACTGGTTCTACATGTTCCTAAACAGGATCCTCCCCGGAAGGAATGCGTTGTCAGTTGTGAAAAAGACTTGCATGGATCAGTCCATCGCCAGCCCGATCTGTTTAGGAATATTTTTCATCGGCCTTGGCCTTCTAGAGCATCGAACGATCGACGAGATCCGCGAGGAGATAGACATGAAATTGTACGACACGTGGATGGTACATAGCTCGATTATTGATAAAAATAAACTCTTAACTATATGCATTTAATTAAATTCTATTTATAACCAGACAGTACCACCGATTAGTATTAAAAGGAATAAAATTTGTAACATTGTATGGAAATAAAGATACCTTTTGTATAAATGAATCTGTGAATGATTGAAAAGCCCTATTATCGGTTATTAATCAGGATTAGACTTAAAGTCACGTGTATCTGTTTATCAATCACCTGATAAAACTGAATGGCACTACGAGATTTGCTCTCGCGGCGTCGAACGTTTCGAAACATCGTCCGATCACCTAAGATGTTGTTTATCAGTGTTTATCAACATGCAACCGTCTGATGCATCCCGATGGAATTTTTATTATTACTGTTTTATCGGTCGTAAACAATAGCCCATCGGATGCAACGTGTTTATTAAAGTGACAGATATTGTTTGACGTTCGGCGACAATGGGATTACAAAAGCCTTCTAAGCCGCCAGTCGCCGGCGTGCAAACATTGATTATTCGCGAGTAAATACAAACAGTAAACCGTGCTAGTAACAAGTAAGACCGGCGGATTTGTCGTCGGTGCATCTTCCGAAATTGTATCGCAATAGGCGCGCTTAGGTAAACGTGTGGGCGAGGGAAACTTTCCGGAATACTTTTATACACTGTTATACCAACAGTGTATATGAAATAATCGGAGATGGTTTGTATTTCATCTTAAGCGAATTACATAAACGGTATTATGCATTGAGAAGAAATTGCTCCTCAATAATAAGAATTAAATGTCGAGACTGATAGGATCTTTTCAACAAAAATTGTATTGATAATTCTTGATGCACGCCTTCTTATCGCTTTTCAAACAGTCCACTCGGAATCGCGGTATTGGAAAAAGGTCGACTACGAAAATAGACTCTTTTGTATAAGAAAATTAAGTGGTTTTAGGAAATACCTGTTAGGGCCAGAGTCGTCTTTGTATTTTGCATTTGCGAAGAAATATATGGATACGGTTAACAAAAAGTTGCCACGACATTTGCATGCGACTGATGTGATTCATTTAAGTGATTAGCCGTGACTGAATTGATTTCGAAACGGTGGCAGGTCGAAAACACGAGTCGTTCCCAGGACCATCAAACCTGGAACATAGATACATTTTTTAAATGTATGCAGTTTTCGCGCGCTAACCTCATTACTTGGAGTATCGAATATTATATTACATTTACCTGAGGAATTTAATAATTGAATAATCGTAGATAATAAAAATAAAGATAAGAAGACGTCTTTAATTAATTTTATGACTGACATTCTTAATAATTATTAATAATAATTAACCTCGATAGAATCGACATTTCCTGATTTAGGTAAATCGACGGTTTAATTAGAACTCGAGCGAATTTATATAAATAAGAGATTGATTACCGGTTCCAATCGAGTACATAACAGTTTTTCCAATCGGCTTTTGCATATTCTTGGTGTGATGCCAAACGTAGAGGCCGGAACCGATAAGGCCGCAACCGCTGAAAATTCTGCAACTCAGACAGTCGCGGCTTCGATTGTTGATCATACTTTTCACCGTGGATGTTTCCTCCATGTTTTACTTCCAAATGGTAATATAAAATAACTTGAGAACATACGCGACGAAACCGTTTTCGACCGCACGTACCTATCGCGATTTACGTTTGAACCGCCATATTTGTATACGGTATATAAATACGGATAAATAAAAGTTTACATACAAGCACGAAGTGCCTACAGAGAGAATTTTCTTCCTCTCTGATATTGCCTTTGGAAATGAATTCGAATTTTGATTGATTGAATTCGAACTTCAGTAACTTTATGGGACTTCGTTTCGCACAAAAGTCTGCAATTTTTTACGCAAAATATTGTATACGACCGTCTTAGCAGATAAAAATAGTATCTACAACTTTTACTTGAAGCATTTTTCGAAATTCCGCCGCACAAAAAATTTTCAATTTTTCCGAGATTTTTCCAAGGGGTACCCCTTCAAATTTTGCGAAATTTTCGTTTTTTGCCAATAACTTCCAAACCGTTAGAGATACGGGAAAATTGCATCAGACCTTTCTTGTAGAGGACGACGAGATCTACAATTTCTGTATAAAAACTTTTTGCTAGCATTAATATTTAGC